CATAAAGAATTATATACTTCTTATGTTTACACATAAGTCCAAAGATCTCACCATATACAACCTTGAAGCAGGACATTCCCACAACATTCCTTTTCCTGTCTCCTGCCTTCATTCACCACCCCCTTCTTGAACAACCATCTCCCTGAGAGACAGCACAGCAGCAACTGGCATGTCATGACAAGCAGCCCGTATGCAGAAGACCAGAATGAGAGGCACTCCAAGCATAAAACTACTATTATAGATTACCCTCTTCAGTGCAGTTGCTTAGTTCACAGGTATCAGTATATATAGTTAGGGCGAGAATCTTTCCTATTAACTGCTAGATTCAAAAATCCTTTGGAGATTCTCAGGATCCTTGCCTTACCCATCTTCTACATCTAACGGTATGGCTTTTCACTGTAGTGTTTCCTAGCTCTTCTCCTTTCCCTCTCTTAATTAGTTAGTCCTCGAGATCCTGCTTTCCTTTTACTTGTATAGTTATGTTATCTTTTATATATGTATAAAAAGCAGAGAATACAAGTCTCAATTACAGTCATGATAATTGCCATAGTAATTGAATGTAGTATTCTTTTTTTTTTGGCGGAACCGGGGATTGAACTCAGGCCCTTGTGCTTGCCACTTATTCCACTGAGCCATCTCCTCGGCCCCAGCATGTAGTGTTCTATACCTAGTAGAAATCAAGGATAATGATAGCAGTTATTGAATACTTAAATCTCAGTGCTTTTTTTATTTTCCAAGTGTAAATTTCGAGTAAGTGGAATTGCATATAATTCTTGCGATCCGCACAACCCTATAGGTACTGTTGCCATCTTCATAGAGCAGATAGGGAATAGACATGAAGTAATAGAGCTTGCGGGGAGTGACACTGAGGCACTTGCACCTGAGATTTGACAAGCTGTTTTAGAACATTGATTTGAGGTCAGGCATTTAGCTTAGTGTGCAGTGCCTTCCTGGCAAGTGTGAGGTCCTGCGTTCAATTCCTGCTAACTCCCCCTTCCCCCAAAAAGGAACATTCGTTAAACATAATGGTGAATTGTTAATTGAGATTACTTGAGGACCATAAGAGATCTTTTAGGAAAATACCTCATCGTTTAAATTTTAAAGGGAAGGACCTGTCCATCGCTCATTTATTTATTTATTTATTTATTCATTCATTCATTCATTAATTAATTCATTCATTCATTGTATTTTAGGGAAGGGCCTACAAGGTGTTCAGGGTCTCACTACTAGATCAGACTCGTAGTGATCCTCCTGTGTACGGCCTGCCAAGAGCTGGGATTACAGGTGCGTGCCGCCATGCCCAGTCTCCATTGAAGTCTCAGCGGGCCCTGGGGGCCGGCCAGCAGCGCAGACCTGGGGATTACACCCCCAGCCCCTGTGCCTGTTTGCAGGTGCTTTAAGTTTTCCATTCCTTTTCCCTTCCCACTCTATCTTTGCTCCTCTTCCTGTCATCATTTATTTTATTGTTCTTCTCCTATAAGATAAACAACATGATATTTAAGTTTGTGTATCAGATTTATTTCACATACCAGTTAGGTCTCAAGGTGCATCCATTTTCTTACAAATGACTCAGATTTATCTTCCTTTGTAGCAGGTACTACTCTATGATAGGGAAATACACATCTTCTTTATCCATTCATCTGTTAATGGACATACTGGCTGTGAATCACTATTTGTTGTGGTAACACCATCCTTGATGTCTCATTCATTAGCCTTTTTTTTTCATGGTTGTAGAGAAGAAAATGAAAATTTTTCTCTCACAACTTTATTTCCATTTTTACACACATACATATGAAGTAGCAGTTACTTTTTAGTAGCCACTTAACCAAGTAGATTCATTGTTTTAATCTTAAGCAGGGCAGATAGAGGTTAAATGAAAAGAAATGCACTTCAGGTTACTTGACTCAAGTATGTTGACTCAGAATGTCACATTTTTATTTAACTTTTTTATTATTTTCTACAATAAAATACATTTTTCTTTGTTTCTGGTTCTTTCCTTTTTCCTAGCTACTGTTTTTACATGAAAATCAATTATGTTGAGTATGTATTCAATTATTGAAACTGTTTGACATGATAATAGATAGTCATCTGTTTAATACATTGATGATACAGGTAAGTTAAAAATGATTTTATAAAAAGCACATACAAAACTTTTTGCCTGGCTTGAAATGAAAAACACCTCCTTCTACATGACAAAAAGGGATTTTTAGAAAAACCATCACTGTTTTGTGAATGAACAGTTAAGGTGTGAAATTGTCTGATCGGTGACCAATTATATCATATTGGCTTCTGTGCTATAGGCAAAAAGACTATCACCATATTTGTTCTAGCAGTGGGTTTAGTAAGTCCTAAAATAAAGTAGCTTGTCATATTGAAATAATGATGATTGTAATGGGTATTTTGAGATACCTTCAAAGGCAGTTATATCGTATAAAAAGTTTTGCGGGGGGGCCTGCCCCTTAGCTCAGTTCTTTAAGTGGCTGCTTCAACAAAGCAGGCAGGTTCAGGTTGCTGTGGTTCGATCCCCACAACTGAAGCCAGCCAAACCTGCCCTGAAGGCATTCAGAGAAAAAAAAATTCCTTAATAGAATATTTTGCTGAGTTTACACACCTATAATTTTCAAATAACGGAACAAAAAAAGGGGATACAGATGAATGTCCATTTTGTATCTGTGTATTCAAAGTGGTTAGGATAGATATAGAGTTGCATTCTCTTAATGAATAGAGGGATTTGTTCTAATAGTGTTTGTAAATAGGATATCATGTCTACATCTTGTACAGCAATTAACCACTAGGAAGAATGTATGCAATGTGTTAATTATTGAAACTGTCCTACCAATTTGGTTTGAAACTGTCTCATTGCTATTTGTTTCTCAATAAAATTATGAAAAAAATATTAAAAAAATAAGATGGGAGACCTAGAACCACATTAGCTGTCTGGTGAGCATGAAGATACAACCTAGGAAGATAGAAAATGATCAACTGGAGTACCTGGTGATATCAGTGAACCACTGACAGCCAAGTCGGGAGCCACCCTGCCTCTAGGCTACTTGAGATATGATAATAAATTCATGCTATTGCATTAAAAAAGTTTTGTGACTACTGTGAGATTTAGATTTATAGATACTGGTTTGTTTGCATTCATAATGTAAGAAAATACAGTATTGAGCTGAAAAACAGGACAGAGAAAGTTAGAATTTTTAGAGGAAGTTTGTAAAGTTAAGAGCTTCTTTCTCATTTTTTTAAGTGACAGGTTTTTTTTTTCAATACAGTGTTAGCCTTTCAATACAGTGTTAGCCTTAGTTAGGAAAAAATCCATACTGTTAATATAATACATTATTTAATATCATTTCCCCCATTCAATAAAAATGCAGCAATGTAACTGATACTGAAGTGGTATTTTAAAATTATTCTATCATGGGTGCAAATATTAAAACTAAAGGCTTTATTTCCTAAGTGGTATGTACAGTATACCAAAAGAAAAGGTGTCATTTTGTAGAGTTCTGAGTAAAAATGCATGAAAGATGATAATGTTTCGTTAGGTATGATATAAATGACTTATTATTACTATTATTGGGATATTTGGCAGATTATCTTAAAAGATGCATATCAGTAGTATAATTTTAAGTAAATGCTAGTAGTATAACATTACATAAATTATTTTAACCCTCAACTATTCAGATACTAAGGTTTTCAAAGGAGCAGTTTTCAGAGTTTGATATATTTACCTTCATCTCATGCTAATTTTGAAATTAATAAACAATGTTATTACTATTCTTTGCTGACTGCATTGGCTGTTCAGTCCTAAATATTGCTTTATAATGTGTTTTATACTTTTAAACAAAGGGCCTTGCACCATTTATCTCGCCTGAGAGACTTGGTTGATGATACCAGTGGAAAACAGTGATCGAAAATGCGAAGAGGAAAGTAAAACTGTCATCACAATAACTACAGAACAAATATGTATTTTTTTGTTATTTAATGGGACAAAATAAATTTAAGCCATATGGCATTTGATGATTGTTTCAACTATTTTTCTAAAACATTAAACTTGAAAATATCCATAGATTTTGTGACCTAGTCTCCTTTTGTGACAAAAAAATAGAATACGTCCTAAAGTCTGTCTTCTAATATTTAAGGCTGAATGATGTCTTAATGTTTACCAGACTCATTTTGTCACTTGGTTCTGGAATACTAAGTTTTCTAGTTTGTATCTATAATTCTTTTTCATGGATCTTTTCTATTTTTTAAATAAAGTTAGCTTGCAGTTTTAAGCTGCCTAAAGAAATACCAAAATTTTTATAAGATATTTAATAGGGGAATCTTTTATTTTTAAATTTTAGACACCAAATAGTAAAGATACATTGTATATAAATGACATCAGTTTAACAGTGAGTGATGTGGTGTTGAAAGGAATGTTCTTTAAAAAAATTTCTTTTTATTTGAATATTCTTTCATATTGTAACATCCAACAGAACCTCGACATTTAAGTATTACTTTGATTCTGTGTAAGGTAATATTGATAATGCATGACATTTCTGAATTGTTCTGGAGGGCAGATATTTGAATATGTAATATTAGATTATTTTCCAGATTGTAGTTTTGGGGTTAGCCGCAACTCTTAAAAATAATAATGCAGTTTTCAAGTGCTTTCTGAAAATTGAAACTAAAAGGAGAACTAGTGTCAAAAATCAGAAAGCAATTCTGTATTTAAAGTTATGTTTTAAAAGTTGACTTTTCTTTAAAGCTTTCTATAATCTTCACTTTATTGCTAGCTAGCAGTGAGGAGAGTTCTGTAATTTTTCATTTTCAACATACATTAATATTTCCACTAAGTTGGAAGCATTGTTTACCAAAACTAAAAATTATGTCATCAAACATAACTAATATATTTTAAAAGCCTGATGAAATTAAAGAATATCTGTATATGTAATATATATATATACACATATACATATACATATGCATATATATATATATATATATATATATTACACACTAGCACTGTACCCAAATCACTATCTTAAGTAGATTTACTGCTAAGTAGGACTTTATAAGCACATAGTCAAATTTTCTTCCAAATTAAGAGGCACTAATTAATTCCTTTGTTGTAGAATTCACATGTCAAACACTATAGAATGAACTCTGCCATTCTACTTCCCTTTTTTTTTTTGTGTGAGTTTCTCATATTTGTTGGGCTGATTTGAGAGAAACTTACTGATGTTTATTTACTCTGTGGAAATCTTTTTTTTTTTTTTTTTTTTAATGTATTTGATAAAGGGTTTCACTAAGCAGCTTGGACTTGTAGTGACCCTCCTGTTTTCAGCCTTGTGTTTGTGCCGCCACACCTGGTATCAGGGGCTGCGCCCGAGGGCTGGGCTGATGCAGCATATGATGCCTAGGATCTAACCTGGGTCCCTGTGTTTGCTTAAGCAGGCGCTTAGCCCACTGAGCTATCTTGCTAGCCCAGAAATTTTTTCTTTTTCCACTTACATGCTTTTTAGTGATTGTGATTTACAGCAAAGCAGATAGCTTATGGAGAAATTACTTTAAAGATCAAAGAAGGGCTGGCTTTTTAAAATGCAGATTTAATTAGGTAAACAGGTTAGTCTGGGTGGGTCCTATTATGTATAAACTGGGGAAATCTTTTATTAGACAAATTCTAAAGAATGCAGAGATGGGGCTGGGCGAAAGCTCGGCACTCTAAGCACCTGCCTGGCAAGTGCAAGGACCTGGGTTCAATCCGTGGTACTTCATGCCATGTCGGACACGGAACTGGGTGTGGTGGTGCATGCCTGTAATCCCAGTACTGGGGAGGCTGAGACAGGAAGATCACTGCAAGTTTGAGGCCACCCTGGGTTACAAAGTAAGCTCAAGGACAACCTGAACTACCCTGTCTGAAAGGGACAGAAAAAAACAAACCCAAACTATGTTAATTATGTGTTAACTACACATAACATACAGTATGCTTGGAAAGCACCTCTGAAAAAGATAATGCTTTAATGATTCATTAGTGCCCCTATTTTTAAGAATACAGTTGCGGTATTACAAAGAAATTGTCTTGAGATTATAATTAATATTTTAAGGAACTTTACAATGCTTACTGAATATTTTGTTTTCTTTTTTATAAATATGGAAAGGTTTAGTCTTTTACCTAAAAAAGGGAATAATTTTATCAAAATTAAAATATATCAGAGTTAGATCAAAATGTCTAAATGAGAAGTATTTAGGAAGTTATATAAAGACTTGATTTAATTATATCCTTCATGTAGGTTTTTATTTTTAGATTTCTGGGGAGAAAAAAGAGGATGGAGACTGCCATGTAGAGAATTTAAAGCAAATAAAAAGTTAGATTTTAAAGATTAACATTTTGAGTGTAAAATTTTATCTTATGCCATACCTATATTCAGAAAATAAGAAATTTTACTATCTTCAAGTTTTTATATTGAGTATGAAAAATTGTAATAGAGTTTGAGGGATTTGTTTGGCACAGAGTTTCCTTTATTCATTAATATGTCACTGATCTGAATGCTCCATAGATTTCAGCATTTGGGAATTTTTTTACGGGGCATTCAACATCCCAGTTGCATAAATCAAATTGAAGAAGACCCTGATTCTTTAACAGTTTATTACTGAGTTTGATGTGGGTGAGGATGATGGGGGGTTGTAGGAGTGAAAGACAATGAATAAGCAAACATCATTATCATGAGGAAATCTGTGGAAATACAGAAATAATATACACTGCAAGCAGGTAAGTATTGTTTCAGAGAAATGAAGATGGAATAACTGGTATAGTGCCACAGAAGATGGGATCAATCTAAAGTGATTTGGGAAAAGTCAGGAAAAATTTCACTCAGGATGAGATATTTAGGTTGGCCTAGATAATTGACCACAAGTTTTCTGACAAAGAGACTGGGGCAGAAATGTGTTTATTCTGGTTGGGCGATACTTGCAGAGACTTGAGTGATGCAAAGATCTAATTTGCATGAGTTGAATCAGAAAGATATTATACTAGGGTAGTGAAAGAAATCTGGGTTTTGGGTTTAGATAGATTTATGATTCTGCCATTTCTGAATTTGTATTGTGGATAAGTGATTTGACCTAGGCAGAGCCCTTTAGTGTATTCTGTGTGTATTGCTGGATATCATATGCTGGGCCTCACGCTTGCTAGGGCCATCATTTGCTACTGAACTGTACTATATCAGGTCTCTTTTTTTTTTTGATATGTACTTTGCAGTTTTGAAGCTTAAATGAAAAAAGGTTTGCTTGGTGTGTAAGATTTAGTAAATAATAGCTGCTAAAGAGATTTATTTAGATGAGGGAGGTATTAGGAATAAGACATAAAGCTGCTTTCTACCTTGGTGCTTCCCTTTTGCATTCTGTATACTACAGCAAGAATATATCCTTTATAAGCATGTCAAATCATCCTGCATCTCTTAAAATGTTAGTACCTTCTGATCTTAGTAAAATAGGAAGTTCCTATCAAAGCTTAAAAAGCTCTCTGTGGCATGTTAACACTTCTCAGTCCTTTTGCACCCTCAAAGCCAAAGCATTTTCTGTCATTCAGTTGGCCTTGTAATTCAGTCACATAGGTCTTACTCTTCTCAGGTAACTACAGATGTCTTTTGCACTGTGTTCCATGTGGACTGTCTTTCCTCAGGTGCTCCATGATTTCTTGCCCTTATTTCCTGACTCTTAGCCACTCATTTCACTGCTCTTTGACTCTTTTTTATTATTGAGAGTAGGGACTTCATTTCATCCACTGTATTTACAGCAATTAGAATAGAGCCTAGGAATAAAGTGCTTCAAACATTTTTCAGCATAAATGAGATAGAGAAAATGGCTTGGGACTCACTTGATACACTGAGCTAAGAATTTTTGGTTTTGTCCTGTTGGTAAAATGAGATCAGCATTTTTTAACCAGCCTTTGGATATTAGTTTTTCTTAGTGCCTTTATTGTTTTTTGCTTGTAGTAAGTAGAACTTCTTAGATATTAAAACCAACTATTGTTTTTCTTCCTAGTAGCCAATTCCACAAAGTTTAATGACCATGACAATCATGATAATTTCTTTAGATGATAGTAAATGGTAGTTAGGATGTAGCTCTGTTTTTGCTCATTGAGCTACTCTTAAATTTCCTTTGATGTTTTAGCATAAAACAGGTCCCAGGCACTGGGGAGAAGGGGGCCTGAGTTCAATCCTTGGTTCTGCCGAAAAAATAAAACCAAAACAAAACAGGTCGCAGAATATAGGCTTATTTGTATAGTGTGAAGATGGCCATTAAATGAATAACTTTAGGTTTCCATAATGTAACCAATCACTAACTTGGAGTTTTGCATAAGAATAAAAGAAAAAAGTAGGACAACACAGGAAGTGTCTCTTGGAAGACACTTCCCTGTGTTTGAACTCATGAATGACAGGAATGTTATCTTTGACTTGGTTCAGCCCTGCCTAGAGAATGTGATGGTGCTTCTGACAAAATTCATCACTCCTTTAAATAAGTTTTTTTTTTTTTTTTTTAGACTTGTGGAAACAAGTTTTGTTCAGAAGCATTTAGTTCAAGATAAAGCAGAATATATATTACCTTTAAAACAAGTGAAGAAATTAGTCTCAACCACACTTTTTAAATTTTTATTTTTTATATTTTATTGAGAAGTAGCAATGAGACAGTTTCAAAACAAGTTAGTAGGACAGTTACGATAATTAGTACATTATATATTGTTGTCTTCGTAGTAGTTATTCATAGTACAAGATGCAGACATGATATCTTGTCTAAACACTATTTCAAAACTTCTCATTGAACTAAGAGAATAGCTGTATATCTATGCTATTTTATATGTACAGATATATACATTTTTTTCACTACAAAATCGACCTTCATATATATCCTCCTTTTTTGTTTACTTTTGTCAGATTGGTATTCCATTGCCATTTAAATATTATAGGTGCGTGAATTCTCAGCAAAGTAGTCCAATTTAGTCCAGTAGTCTATAATAGTAGTGGGTTATCCACATGACTGGCAGTATCAGAGATTGTTGACTTGAGCCTTTTACATCTCAGCATATTAATACAGCTTTACTTTTTATACCTCGTTTTTATATTGTTCTGCTGGATGGATAAGACCAAGGTAAAGCAAGACCTATATAACAAAACATGTAACTTTTGTATCTGCCCAGGTCAGTCAAATCCCCTCAGGATATACCCTGAAACCCTGTACCGCAGTTGCAGATCCTTTGTCAGTGTCAGCCATGTGGATGAGTCACGGCTATTGCTTGACCACTTTCCTGTCTGTGAAAGCCTGAGAGAATGTTTTCTCTCCATGTGACTTTCATTAGGCACACGCTACATCGTCAGTCATTTTCCTCTGTGGCCCCATAATCTCCTTGATCAGAAAATTTGGGATACTGCTGAGTTACAGGATGTTACAGTACAGGTTCTCCTATGTCCTGAGTCCACCCTGACTTTGAAGGGCTAGGACCACATATTGGCTGTCCTTGTAGCCCTTCTCTTTTTCTAATTTTTGGTCTGCAAACTTAAGTTGTTAACCCTCCACAAGAGAAGCTTAATGATATTGCCCTAAAGCATAGCCCATTGAGCCTATGTATTCAGACATACATTAGTATCTGTCTGAATATCAAACTCCTTAGACATAACATGGAACAGGTATTTTCCATCAATTGTTGATATGCTAAACTTTAAATCCCTACCGAACGTGAAAAATAAATAAAAAAATAGAAATAAATAATTGCAAATTTTTATACAGAAATTTAGAAATCTAACCTTTGCAATATTATAGCAGGATAGTCCTATGACATTTTTTTCTTGTCTCTTGTTTTCATTTATTACCTTTTTTAAAAAACAAATATTTACTTGAGCATATAGCAGTAATTGATATGACATTAGAAGCAGTATGCTTTCAGT